AGGAGAAATTAGTGGGAATAGAGGGGAGAAGGGAGAGGAACATAAGACAAACATAGAGAAGGAAAAGCCACTCTCAAACAATTTCTCTTTTATTGAAGCAGTAAGTACTCATTAGTAATGTATATATGCTAAACCCTTTGGGAATAAGTTATTGTCTTGAAAAACAATAACATGCATACATAATTAATGGAATGGAATGCATAATTAATGTATGGGGTTATATGGAACTTTTTCCGTGGCTTTTTCTTACAGGGCTGGGAAAGTTTTAGTTCTGTGAGAGTCAGTTATAATTAGGAGAATGACAGCTCTGGGATTGATTCAGTTTTTTATTGATTATGAAAAGACTTTTGGAAGGTGTCACATTTTTAATCAAGAGAAGTAATACTTTCAGATGACATGTTTGAAAAAGCATCAAATTATTGTGTTCTCAAAAACCAATCCATGCATTAAACCATTTATGTTTGACTAAAACAATCTGTGGACTAGTTAGTTTAGTTCTTCGTAACATCACATACAGTCTTTCATTGTGTGGTGCTGAAGCCAAGCTTAGCACAATTAAGAGCTTTCTAGAGAGATGCTGTAAGCAAAGACATATTCACAACCATAAACAGACATGAACTTTTAGATATACAGGACAAGAAAGTACCTAATAAAGTGGAAAAATTAGATTTACATCCTCTTAGAAATATAATCACTAAGAAAAGGACATGAAATATGATAGTAGAGACAAGTCTTGTTAATACAGACCCTTTTAAAGATTCCTTAGAAAATTGTCCAATTTTTAATCTCAAGGTAGTGTTGAAAGTTTGGAATGTTGTACTGTTTTTACCTTTTTAGGATGTTGTTCTACTTTTTAACATAAGATGTAATTTTCATCTTTTGAAAAAATAAAAACTATCAGACTACTACTAAAAATTAAATGTATTTGGAACAATACATGTTCATCAATTTTGTGTAAACAGTTTACATATGGATGTCCTGAGACACTTGATAGATAATTCTAAAACTTTGCATGGACCCTATAAAGGTAGTAACTTCATTTTGAGTGCAAAAAAAAAAAAAAAGGGAATGGTTATTTGGTGTTTTAACGTCGTGTATCTTTTTGTGATTGCTTCAGTATTTGTACAGTGAGATAGTTTTTCCTTTCAAAACATTGTATGAGTGCAATTTGTTGTTTGATGATTGCTAATTGTTTCTAAGTAATATAATATGCTAGTGCAATCACTGGCCACCATTATGGCATCAACAAAACACATCACTCATCAAGCCCATGCTAAAACCAAATTGAATGAGGTGGTAATTCCAAGCAGAGCAATTGTCACACCTATCATCTAGTTACTTTTTCATTTAAAATAATTTAAAATTCAAGATACAATCCAGTTTTTTAGTTACAACCTTTGGTCCTGGGAGATGTGTAAAAATGTTTGAAGAATTAAATGAGGCAATGTTTTCTTAACTCAGTTTGAAAAGCTCCTGCTACTCATTGCTGCATACGACTTACCTTTTTGCCACATAGAGTACTTGTGTCTTGTTTTTTGATATTGCACAAGTTTTCCTACACCTCCTAAACTTCCTCTGTTACACTTTGACAGATGCTTCCTTCAATATAGAGAAATTCATTTTTTTTTACACTTTTTGTTTAACTTACAAGTACAGTTGATGTTGAAAGCAATGATTATAAAAGAGCCTTTATTGCCTCATGTTGTACTTTAGTTTCATTGGATGCAATTGCAATGTGTTAAATGTTTTCTTCCTCTTTTAGGCAAAATCTCCAGATCCTAGTCAAATCCCAGATGAAGACTTGGTTGGTGTAACCGTGATCCTTTTAACTTGCTCATATAAAGACAGAGAGTTTGTGCGAGTAGGATACTATGTAAACAATGAGTACACTGAGGAAGAAATGAGAGAGAATCCTCCCACTAGGCCTCTCATAGAAAAGGTATTTATTTAACAAATGGTAAACACCACAGCGTACACTATTGAGTTATGGATGCATGCGGGAGGTTGCTAAGCACGAAAGAAGCGTAAGAGTCG